CTTTGAAGTGAAAGTAATAATAAAAAATAGACACATTTATGCATGTATATTTACATTTAATATTTATTGCCGCATTTACATGTTTGATAATTTGTTTCATAGCCACATTTATTTATTTATGTAGGCACATTTATTTCATATTGACTGAAATGGAAATCATTTACAACAGTTATTGGAAGCTCCTATATATCAATAAAAAGTATAACCACATAATGAACGTACCTGTGTGTTTTAAGGAGTTTGTCACAGAGACAGACAGGAAAAGACTCGCAGCTGATTCTGAGGCTGAAGTTTGCAGGAGAAAATCAAAATAAAGTGACGTTAGAGCCTGTTTTATATTACAGACAGGATAGATAATGGTCAAATCTAGCAGTGACTAATAACACAGTAACAGTGGTGACGGTAGGACTTTTATAATCCGCTTATAGACATATTTTATATTTGATATTGTGACACTGAGTGGGGGAAACGTTGCTTATTACATGAATTAAAATGGTTCTGTACTCAACATGTCACCAAGTCCAGTTAAGACTGTAAAAAGATGAAAGTCAATAACTTCTTCTCTGACTCCAGAGCAGCAGAGTGAAATGATGAAAGCTCCATTTGTTTTTTCTCCTCCACGTTCTTTGAATCGCAGCTCCAGAGTCGGCAGTTAAGGGGAAACTTGAGGGGAACTTAAGCGTTTTGTGCACCTCTTACTGCTGTGAAAGCTGTCAGGCAGTTCAGGCAAAGCCTCAACGCTGTCTGAACACACACTATTATAAAACCTTCATTTTAGTTGGTAAAAATGGGACGATTTCTTTTTGTTCTCTCTCACATTATAGAGCAGCTGCTGAGCACAGAAACACTAAATGTTAGCTGGGGTTGCCACCTTCAATAGGCCTACAGAAAAATCAGGCCACACCCCTCGGGGGCCAGGACACCAACCACAGGCCCGAGGGTGAGCCAGTGGGGCCAAATCATATTACTGTTGTATTAGTAGAACAACAATTCTACAGATTGGTGAAGCATAACACATAGTTGTTTATATTCTTCACACATATTTAGATAATTGAATGTGTATTAAATAGCTGAAAACTCTCTTATCTCTTATTAAGTTAATGATTATGAGTCTGACTGTTTATCTAAACCTACGGGACAAAACTACTTAGTTCTTGAACACGGGACGATTCCGTATTTTAAGGGACGGGTGGCGGCCCTGCAGGTCGCTCAGAAAGGAAACAACGAGCAGGACAGAACTATTGTTATTTTGTTTGTCTAGATATTTGTTTCAGACAGAGTTTAATGAGAGAGATTTCTCAGAAATAACGACTCTAATCGCTTGAGTCGTTATTTTAGATTCCGATGGTTAAACTGAAACAGCAGGAAGAAAAAATCTATTTGTGTAGAGTGCGTTTATTTGTGTATTACGTGTAGTTTGTGTGTATTATTCATGTTGAATGTGCTCCTACAGTCTGTGAAAACAAATTTCCTCCACCGAGGACAATAAGGAATGAATCTGAATCTGAAGAGGAGTTACAAACCCGAAATCTCCAGTTTCCTCAGACTGACATGTAGTTTGTTACCTTTGAGGTCATGATGTAACTGAAGCTTGGCCTACACTTACTTATAAAATGAATCATCCGAGCATTAGAGCTGTTTCGTGCTTATGCTCTTTAGTGAAGTTTGATGCTGTTCTGACGCTTTTGATTGGTTCTCATGTTTTAATCTCTGCCAGGTAAACTGCCTCTCACTGTCTTTTTAAAATGGTTAACATTTGAAAACAAAACATTTACGGCAGCATCAAATATGGGGGAAATATATATGATCCCAGTTAACAAATTAAGGATGGGAGGCTTGAACAAGTTGTCTCTGATATCTATAATGCAAACATGTAGCTTTGTTTCACGGCCTGTAGGCTGGTCAATGAAATTAAATATTACCAGTTATATTTTTGAAGTTATAGCTATAGTCTATTAATGAATACATGTAAAAACACACTCAATGTAATATTTAAACAGGTAAACCCCACAATTCATTGAGTTTTTGCAGCCTAATAAAAGACCAGGTCCAAACGCTAACAAAGTTTCTGGAAGGGAAGGCTATTGCATATTTCAACCACTAGATGGAGCCACCAGGCCCTTTTCTGGAGCTGGAGGCAGGAGGGATGTTCTGCTTTGTCCTGCCAGTCCAGCATTTATTTAAACAGAGAGTGATGGTAGGTGATGGGACCAGCCTTGATACTATCATCAGTCCTCAAACCTGCACAGGCTCACATCACCTGTCTCGGGACTCAGTTTCACTTTTATTGTACTTTACACAGGTTTGAACAGTGAATAGCTTTCCCTGGTGGCTCATCAAACAGAATTAAACCCAAGAAAGGCAGTAAAAGACTTGAAAGCCCAGAGCCAGAGATGCTTTCTGACTCTCAGTAATGCTCACCAGGTTTCACACATAAGTAGGCCTACATAACTAATGAGAACTACAGGCTGCGTTAAAATATTTACTCTACTTCACTAACATAATAAGTATTTTACACTGGAGAAAATAGCAAATGAAAATAAAAAGTTTACAACTGCACAGATTTGTTTTGGAAGAGTTTTGTTTTGACAGGACAGTAGATTGTTGAAGCTGAGAGTTTTTAACAGTTATAGCAGCACAGAAAGAGAAGCTGAAGGCAGGTGAAGTTCTGCACAGCCTGCAAACTCAGTGATCAGCTTCCTCTGGTCGCAGTGCAGCCTTCTCTTTGATAGAAACACAAGTCAAAAGGTCAGAACCTTGTTGCCTGTTGGCGCCACAGAAGGGGGCAGAGTGACCTCTGATGGTTGAGCTCCCTCATAGCAAGAAGGCCTATAAATATGTTACAAAACTAAAATATAAATTAAGTAATAGAAACTTAAATAAAAGGGTAACTGCTGTCCTAAGCTACATATAATATTAGTTCACTTCTCTTAATCTGAAGTTACAGGTCACCAATGGCCTTACAAATGTTTAATTCTCCCTAACAGTTATTATTTTATTATTTTTATTTTTTATTTCAGTTAATTAAAGTGTTTTTTTTCCCCACACCCAGATTTAGTTTAGTTTTATAACCTACTAAAAACGTTATTTTAGTTTAGTTTTAGTCTATAATCACCTCTTTAACTACATGGTACATGGGCTACTTTTATTTTGAAGGTTTTACGGGTTGCTTTCGCTTCCATAAAAAGAATAGACCACGTGACTTCTGTTTTTTGGTTTATAACAAAAAACAAATCGACTGAAGTTCACAGACTCTCTTCATTCTTTGTTCAAAAAGGAATAACGATAAAATGAATCGTCAAAAACGAAAAATGGGCCGTTTTTAATTGGTTTTTCGTTTTTGTATAACAAACGAATTACGGATTATCCAGAGATACCCAGACCGTTATCTTGTTTATTGGTTCAAACGAAAAAAGAAACTATCCAGAAAGTACCTAGTTTTATCTATGGAGGATGGTTGTAACATTTACATTTCTTCATTTAGCTTTTATCCAAAGCGACTTACATTTGCCATATATGTCAGAGGCCTCTGGAGCAACTAGGGGTTAAGTGTCTTGCTCAGGGACACAGTGGGGAGTTGAACCCGGATCTCTGACACCAAAGGCAGCTGTCTTATCCACTGCGCCGTCACCACCCCGTGACCCTGTCACCACATCACCACATTTTTAAAGAAGTGTTACAACACACCCCACCTCTGTCAGCCCATGCTGAGCTAGCTGTATTACCATAGTGGTTTGAAATTAGAAAGGAAAAAATGCATCACATGTTGCCTGAGAAACTTTATTTCTATCTAATATAAGTCAAACTATTCTATCTGCAATAGTATAGATATTAAATAAAATATAGTCTTGGTCAGAAAATGTACTTTCATACCTCTCTATATATTCTGAATGCACCTCTTTCCAGACTTGATGACCACCAGGCCTGATTAGGGAGGAAGCAGGTAAATACTGAAATGATCACCAAACTCCTTTCTTCTCTCTATTTGGTGGAATTGGTGTTGTTACAACTCTCCCCATGTTACAGCCCTATTTTCATTTTTGAACTACAGACGAATTAGGGATTATCCACAGATCCCCGGACCATTGCTCAACATTACAGAAAGTCTTGAAGCATAATAGTCGAGGACAAACATTTGAACATTTAGTAATCCAACATAAATGACGAACTGCAATATTCTACTTCCTTTACCCTGTTGGAAATGACAGAAGAATCATTAGTAATGTCTGAGGATGTTGTTTGAAGTTTAACTCTTTAAAGTAGTCCAGGATTGAGAGTGATCCATGAAACATGAGCTCTGATGATGTACCAGAGAGTTGACGGCGTTAAAATGACTTCATGTGCATAAAAGCATCCTGGGTAGAAACTATAGACTGTTCTTCTGAACACCTTTTTGTTTATGTCTTGAATTAGTTCAGTTAGTTGTAAATAAGTGTTTAATTAGATTCTTACCTGATGATGGTCTGAGGACCAAAGCATCAATATTAGTTCTTTCACAGAGTTTCTCACAGAATGCACCTCTCTAAAAGACTTCTGTTTTAGTTATTAAAGCTGTCCAACTTGCATTGATTCTCTCTCTGCTTGTCAAGTCCAGACTTTTTCAGTTAGTTTGACATATTGCAAAGGTCAGTGATGGTGTATATTTGTCTGATACCATAACAAGACAAAAAGGCTGCAAGTGGACAATAGTTATATATGAGAAGATATCGACTGCGGCAAGCGGAAGTCTTTTTGTTTCTGGAGCTTTTATGATAATTTGCAACTGCTGAACATGTTAACTAACCGCTTCCTCTTTCCCCTCTCAGCTGTACTATTTTAACAACACTCTGGTCAGAGTTTTCACACCTTCTTACTGGCAGCTGATCACTAAGAGAAGACATTTCATGTTTGCTGTTGAATAAAGTAGAGAGTTTTGTCTGGAAGCTGCTGAACACTGAGGAGACATGGAAGCTGTGATTGGACTGTTGCTGATGCTACTCGGAGTCTCTCATGGTGAGCTGATGAACTTCTTTAATTGGACACATTTTATGCAGTTATGAGATAAATACATTCAAAATGTACAGTCTGACATCCTCCTAATGCGGAAATGTATTAATTAACTAAAGGTTCTACTAAGAGGAGGGATTTTTCACCAGCTGAAGTTTGTTTTATTTTATGTTTTATTTGGTCATCGCAAGAACATTTTCCTGCCTGCATTAAGAGATACTTACAGTTACAGTCCCCATATAAGTTTCAGTGAAACAAAGATCTAATTAAATAATCATGTTTTTCACTAATGTAATTTAAAATGTCACCCATGTTCTTTATAAATCCCTGTTTCCTGAAATGTGGATGTGGATTTGTTGATTTTTGGATTTTTAAATAACTTTTGTTTTAAGGTGTGGAAAATGATGCTGAATGCTGAACGTATTAAAAGTAAATCCACTCGCAGTACTGAATGACCCATTCAAAGTGTTGCTTTTCATGTTAACATATGTATCATATATAATAGTATGTATTATTAGATTATTATTACTGATGCATTATTACTGAGGACCACATGAAAACCATTTTAATGTTGTTAAAGTAAAGTAAAGTTAAAAGTACAATATTTTCTCCTGAATGTATTGGAGAGGAAGTGAAATGTAGCATAGCAAATAATTAAGTAAAGTACAAGTACCTCAAAGTTTACTTTAGCAAAAGTACTTTCAGTTCACTTCTGCTCAAATGCCTGTATAATAACTTCCTGTTTGGAAACTGTGGTCTGCATCAAAACCCACTGTCTCTGTCGATCTGTTACTTTAGAAGAAAGCAAAGAGCAAAATTGTTTAAATTTATTTACAGCTTTTGTGTGGAAACCTTCTGTTACAGCAGAGAGGATGGAGCTCAGTGTTATGGAGCTTTGGGAGGAACTGTGGTCCTCCAGCTGATGGACAGCGCCTCAGAAATATTTAGATACCAGTTGTTAATCAATAGAACAGTAATACTTAAAGGGAGAAAGAATCTGATTCTGTCTAATGTGATGGAAGACAGATCCTCATTTACTCCCAGTGATGGAACATTTAGGATCAACAGACTGAGCTGGACTGATGCTGGTGAATATACTCTTGAAATCTTTGATTCAAATGGACAGAGATCAGAGCAGCGGACTCTACATTTGATCATTCAAGGTAAATAACTGTTTTTGCCCAATGGACAATTTTGTAGCATTAAAAATACATCATGACAAGTAAAAGCTCTGCCTTCAAATGTTTACTTAAGTAAAAGAACACAAGTACCTACAAAATATAATCAGAGCAGGCTATTACAAGTTAAAGTAAGCCCATTGTTCCACTCTACATGATACCACATGGTGCTGCTGTGGGATAATGCACTATAGGAAAAAGGAGGGAAGTGTGTTGCTGTTGCAGTTCCATGTATGCCATGTTGGAGGCCATACCTTGCTTCTGTTCAAAAAATCAGTAACCATCCCAGCCCATCCTGAGTCCTTCTACACATTACACTCACAGTCCTGACGCATTACCATGTAAGTAGCATGTTGATGCCAGCAACTTTAATATTCATGTAAAATCTGAATCTGAAAAGTAACTGCTAATTATAGCTGTAAAATAAATGTAGTGAAGTAAAAAGTAGTATGTTTCCCTCTGACATGTAGTTGTGTATAAATCAGCATGACATGGAAATAGCAAGCAAGCAGGTTTATTTCTACAGGAGCTTTTATAAACAAAGTGCTTTACAGAACTGAAGAGGAAAGTACAAATACAAAGATACTTCAGAGAGAAGAAAACAAAGAAATAAAATGAAATTAATAATTAACAGACAAGATATTAAAAACAAGATTGAAACAGTAAACATAAGTTTGTCAAAGTGCTTTACAGATGCAAAGAAACAAATACAAATTAAAAGTACTCCAATAAAGTACAGGTACCTCAAAACTAAACTTTAATGCAGTACTTTAGTAAATTTACTTAATTACACTTCACGTCTGGACACATTCCTGTGTAATTCTTAGCTGCACAGGAATAAGTTCACGTTTTGCTAACTGGTGTGGGTAATGAAGAAGGGACCAATTTAGGTAATCACTGTCAAAAACATATTTTCATTTTTCAAATCACGAGCTGTAAGGGGAAGCAGCTGTGAAAAGTACTTGGTGGAGAAGTGTTGTGTAAACATGACAGGACCTGGAGGTCGATGTGACATTAAAATGCACTTCCTTTGCTCTTTTTCTATCCCCTACAATTATCTTGTTTTGATTGCACTTTTTGTTAACTCTTACTTCCTTCCCTAGGTATTTACCCCATTGATGTGATATGTACTGTGAGCTCTCACTAGTATGTATTGTCAGTTGTAGACCTGTAGTTGATGCTCTGTTGATGCTTGTATGTTGTTCCTCAAATGTAAGTCGCTTTGGATAATGGAGCGGTCAATTTTCTATAGAAGGGTTCACTCCCTACATAACCATCACTCACTGCTCTCCCCTTAAGAGGTCACTGACCCTCTGTCCTGCTGCTACAGTGCTATTTTAAACTGTTATGCGTCAAATGCACATATGTTATACACCACATATTCCAAACAAATGTGTAGTATCTAATGGAATATATGCAGATCGTAACAAGAAGGCAGAAGTTGGCCTGTGAAACATATGTACACAGGGAAGGCCTTCTTGGGAGTAAAGAAACCATTCTGGCTATGGAACCTTGAAATGTTTAATGTAATCACATTATTACACTGAATGTTATATTGAATGTATGTGTACTTAAAAGACTTAACAACTCCTGAAATTTGATTACTGTTTAATTCTATTCTTCTTTATTTTGATTTGTCATTTTACTATTCATATTTTGTAATCATTGTTTGATCATTTTTATACTCACTTATCATTTTTACATGCACAATAAAAATCATTGTATTAAGAAGATCTTTTTTTGTGTGTTTTTAATTATCAATCGTGGGAACAAGGACAGACCAAAAAAAAATTGAAAAAGCACTCTGTGTGAGTGGTCTAAGACATTTAAAAACTCCCTAATTTGGACTAAATATAATGAGAGATATTTTATTATTTAAATCATAAAGAGGGTTTATGTCACATTCCTTCGACGTGTCCTGCATGCGTCAATTTTAAGGTGAGGTAATAATAATAATAATAATAATAATAATAATACATTTTATTTGTAATGCATTTTACATTTAAGACAATCCTCAAAGTGCTACAGGTAAGATCATAAAAGCAAGGTAAAAACATCAGTGTCAAATATAGATTAAAGGTTAAAACTCATAAGTTCTGCTGAGAAGAAATGTTTTTAGTCCTTGACGGTGACGGAGGGTAACGTATACTAGGCTGCAGGGTCACTGTAAAAGCACGGTTCTTCACAAATAGAACGACCGAATTATCGGGGTAACAGCATTAGTTGGCCTTACAGCCACTTTGGGCCCCTTGAGGCTTTGAGCACCCCAGCTGTGTTGCTACTATCGGACTAGAAGTAATAGGACCGCTAGTAAACAGCGGATCCCTAAGGGGTTTATAAGGGGTAAACCTGGGAAGGGGCATGTGTTGATTGACTTCTTGCAGTATTATTTGTAACAATATATCAACTTTATGGAGTGTGAGAATGAAAAACCCGTCCGGCAGCCTTCATTCCAAAATGCCCTCCAAGACAGAAAATTTTCTCACGGCCCCTCTGCCTTCGGCAGCCACGCATGGTACTCCAGTTTGATTAATAAAAGACATCTTTATCAGTCTATGCAGAGATATGGTTTAGCCAATACATGTGAAAACCTCAGGAAATGAAACAAATCAAAAAAATGTCTTAATTCAGGCTGGTCAACCCATCTGACCCTCCAACGGACCTTTCCCTGCCTAGACCCTATATCCCTAAACATCAAGAAAAACCTGAGGTCCCCATATATTAACCCCATAACACAAAAAGAATATGATAATATGAGTTAATTAAGTATTATTCATTCAAATACGTATTCATATCTATATCAAAGCAAACATAGGAAGGTATTCCACTGCAGCTCCCCAGCAGTGTCGATGCAATCCAGACGTTTCCACACCGTCCTTGTCCAGAGTCCATCCATATTGTTCTCGTTTGAGTATCTGAATCCTCATCTGTACATCCCCATATACTCTGGAAGAAAAGAAAACACCAACCAGTCTCTTGTTGCAAAATAACACATGAAAATTAAAACCTCAATGTATGGAAATACAAAGTAACATTAAAATGGATATCTTTCCATCATTACTTCATCTGGTTCCACTTCATCACCTCCATCTAAATCAGCCATAGTTAACAAAGGCATCTGAGTGTTCTCCCCAGGCATCACCACTCCAACCCATCTCAATATCATAGCTTTCGCAAAAGTCAATAGCACCGTACAAAAGCAAAACATCAAACACAGCGCTACAAAGGCTGCTACCAAAATCTGAACCACCACTGCTCCCACTGGTCCTAACTGATTTTGTAACCAAGTATTTGCTGACCATCCAGCTCCCTCAGATTGACCAAACGCATCCCTTATACTCTTTAATGCATCTATAACGCTAGTGATATTATCAGAACTATCTGGGATCAAAGTATAACAACCGTCCCCCGTCAAGTTCATAGCCACACACAAACCTCCTTGTTTGGCTAAAATATAGTCGAGAGCCATGTCATGTTTCAACAATGTCAGTCTGTGACTTCTTTGAGTATTTGACAGAAGATTAAACCCTCGTATAGTTTCATTTGCAAAACCAAGTATAAGTAATATTATCAATGTGATCTGCCAAAAATGTTACACCATACCATGGAAAAAGTCCAAGTCCCCACTTCTCCCCTAGACTTATCCTCCAATGGTAGGATTCAAGATTATGAAATTGTGCCATGCTCCTTTTCACCCTATTTCCAGAACCAGGATCCGAATGAGCTATAGCAGGTGTTTCCCCTTTATGGATTGTAAACACCTCATGTGGAAGTTTTAGCGTCGCCATGTAACAACATCCTATCCAACCATAAGGTAAGAATATATATGCCTTATCACCACAAACCCACCAAATATCTTGAAAATTCCCTATCGTCACATTGCCAGGTAAAAGCAAAAGGTAAAGTCCTTCCCTTCTTACTAGATGGCACAGCAAAAATTACTTCATATGTGTTTTCTCTAACCTTACGGTCATGCTTATCTAAAGACATCATATACTCATCACACTCTGATATTCCCATAAGCCTCCCTGGCCCATCATATGTCTTATTTGAGCAAAAACAGCTACTAGCCCTCACAGGTCTTACCTCCATTGCTTCAGGACTTGCTGTTAACTTATTTTCCTTCTGATCTAACAAATTCACATAGGGCAATTCATTTATCCAAGAACAATTAAGTCTAGGTCTAAACAACTGCGATGACCAAGACATCACTATATCTGTTGACGATTGTTGCTGATACGACAGCCGTGATAAAGCATAAGATTGACACATAACGGATAGAGGTTGGGCCACTGTCTCTAAAATTGAATCCCATGTGCCTGGTGCGGGGTCTTTCAACAGACATGGACCATCTAGTTTCTTAACTGATCTTACAGAATGAGTTAACTGCTGGAACCATAAATTCCTACCTGCCCAGCCATCTGTGATTTTCAAAACAGAAGACTCAAAACCATATGCCTTCCATGTAGCTTCCCTCTTCCGTAACGAGCGATATTGATCAGTCATATCTTCTTGTTACGGGGTGTGGTGTGTGGACAGAGAGGACCCAAATGCAGCGTTCAGAGGGAAGGAGGTTTATTGGGGGAAAAAAGGGTGAGAGGGACTGGAGTGGAGGGAGAGGAGGATGTCGGGGAAGTACTGGCACGGGGAACCAAGGAGACCGGGGGCCAGGGAGCCGGGGAACACAGGGGCCAAGGAAGCGAGGAGAGGCAGGGGAACAGGGAGGATGCCGAGAGGGAGGTCCGAAGGGGAGTGGGCCAGTGGATGAGCCCAGCCGAACGGGGGACGAGGGTGAGTGTACCTGGGAGGGAAACAGACAGAGAGACAAGGTTAGGGGGAGACAATGACAAGGCACAGGGTAAGTTTGAAAAAACAACAAACGAGGAAGCCTGAACACAGGAGTGGCACCAGGTATGGAGCAACGACGATCAAGCAAGGATGGTGTGGAGAACCGGGGTTGAAATACAGGCTGGGATGAGGTTGAT